TAAACACTGTTACACAGTAGTTCCCTCACATGTGACCATTATTTGATTCCCCTAATTGAACTAGATCTTAAATGCTATATAATATCAGAATCCATTTGTTTATCTTATTTAAAGTGATTTTAAAGAGAAAAAAATCTATATTCAGTCCAAAAAGAGGTAAAAGAACAAACAAAAAATTAGTTTCCTAGGAGGAAGAGGTTATCAAAAAGGGATATGTTGTCTGCCCACAATTAATCCATACTGAAACTCTACAGAAGTAACACCACATTACAGAAGATAGAGAAGAAGAAAAACTCCATTAAAGCAATGAGTTGAATTCCCAGTAGGATGGTTCTGAATGTGAAAGTTTAGACTTTCAGTTGATAAGTGCTTATAATAGAGCAATTCTCATGTGAAAGCCCGCATATCTAATCAGGCCACTCTTAAAAGGAGAGGTAAGGCCTTGGCGGATTTTTGACATTATTTAATGGAAACCAACCTTGTGTATATGTGGAATAACACCGTTGCATATATAGTGTTTTCTTTTTTGTTTTCCTCCTAGGAAGTAGCCTTTAGAGAATTTTTCTTACTCGTTTTTATCTTTCAAAATTTTGCATTAGAATGGATGTTCTACTTTATGAGAGCACTTTTAAAAAATCAGTTGAGAACGTGAAAATATTTAAGAATCTTCCAGCTTTGTATGTATTTTACTTCAAAAGTAACTTTTATAATACTTGAACATAAGCTAATGTGCTGCAGAAGTAATTAATTGACATGATTCTATCAAGTAATTTAGACCCTCCCTGATATCAGATGAGAAGCTTAAATACTGGGTCGTATAACAGTAACAGGTTAAAAGAGTTAATCCAGCTTTATCGTTAACATAGGAACTTAGGAACTGGATAGCTTAAGAACATGCTAGAGAATATTTTAATGGGCTGAAAGAGTTCCTAATATGGTCCAAATATTGGTTAATAGAGGAGGAGAGCTGGGATAGTGACTTGATTCAGAGCTCCCTATATAAGAGAGGGCTTGTTTACAGGTGCAGTAATTTAAGAAAAGAAAAAACCCCTGAGATCCTGCCTTACTTTAGGCACCAAGAAGTCGTGCTGTTTTGCAGGAATGAGGAGGGGGGGGGGGGAGAAGGAGCACGCGGGAGAGGGAGGACATGGGCGTTAACACAGCACAGAAGGCACAAAAGTTGTTCAACCCCATAAAATACCCAGGATGTGGAAGGACCAGCCTTCTGGGAAGCTCGTTCCCGGGTCTCCCTCCTCAGCAGTGTCTCACTGGGTCACAGGGTTGCGGGAGGGAGGGTAGAAAGATGGAGGTCACTCTGGCCAAAATGGTTCCAGGGTAAGTCTGTAGTAATTTAGTACTTAGGGCAAAATTACAGTTTTCTAAACAAGGCCTGTGGCTCTGGGGCACATGGGTCATATCTAATGAAGACAGACTTGCACTGTGAGCACGGGTCCCTGACCTCAGTTTTACTTTCTCTGTGGTGCCTGGATTCCAGGGCAGTGATAACAGCCAGAGAGTGGGTTTCTTAGAGTCAAGATGCTTTTTAGGAAGAAAATAAAAATATGATGACTGGGGAATGAGTCACAGACGTCTTTTGAAATTTAGTTACAAATGTTATAGAATGCTAATAATTTTAGACTCCAGACCAAAAATTAGAATTATGCTTTTATTTCTGTGTTCTGCATTTTGAGGGAGCGGGAATGTAGGAGGGAATTTTTTCCAATAAAACAAAAATGCTTGAAGTCAGAGGTGAAAAGAGGACCGAAAGCAACCATTCTAAACAGACATTTGCCTGAGGAGAGAAGGGTGTTCAAGACAAGTGGTAAAAAGGGTAAGGCACCTTCAGAAGCAGAAACAGAGGCCCTGCTCCGAGGCTGCTCACTGAGCCCCCATTAATGCACACAGTGTTTCCAGGAGAGGAAGCTTGTGGAGAGACAATTTCTGGGATAACAGGAGGACTGGCTTAGTCTTAAAGCTGCAGTGTCAACAAGCTGAAGGCCTACTTCTGAACTCACAGGGCATAAACACAGCCTCTCCACTGCCAGCCATAAGTGTAAAAGATCGTCATATAAACAAAAAAAAAAAAGAATGATAAAAATGATCAATGAGAAAAAGGAGCCTTAAACGGCTATCCGTTCAGACCCAATCACTCAGCAGAGAATCTGCTAATTCAAAGCTCAGCTGTGTGTTGTGGAAGCTCAGTTTAAAGACTCAGCCCTGATCTAGAGCTTGCAGCACCAGATTCACTATTTGTAGTGTTTTCAAAACTACAGTAAGTTCTCAAAAGAACCTGCACATCTATCTTTGAATATTTACCCAAATACCCTGGATCTGTGGCTGTTCAGTGGGAATGGCAATGGGCATAGCAAGGGGGCCTGGGCTCTGAGCTCTGTGTGGGATGGCAGGTCTCCTCGGTGGTCACCTTCAAATTCAGGTTTCCATTGACACTTAAGTAGTGGCTTCAGATCCCCAGAGAAAGCTGCCGAGCCAGTTCCAAAAGGCACCTGCGTTCACAGGTGTTTAGCATAACATGCAGTTTATCCATTATTTGTCAGAGACTTTTTAACATTGCCTGGAATATCTAATTCTCAGGAGAAAGAATGGAGAGTGGAGAGAAACAGAAAAACAGGGATCTCAATCCTAGCTCTGCTAATCCTAATACTTGGCTGTGCCTCAGTTTCTCCATTGCTCTAAAACTGGATTAGTGTCGTAAGATTTTGTTGGAGAAAGCATATGGAAACTCCCATGCCTCAAGTGTTCCTTCCTTTCCCTGGAGGAGTCTCTTCCTCTAAGACATGCTACACATAGAAAGCAGGGTTGCATATTTCAACTCATCCTAAACTCAGGTGTACAAGAAAAACAGAATTATGTTTATTCTATTAGTTTTAAGAGAGTCACTAAGGCCAGTCCAGATTCAAGGGGAGAATTAGATTCCACCTTTTGATGGCATGCGGCTAGTTCACATTTCAGAAGAGCATGTGGGATGGGACATATTGCTGTGGCCATCTTTGGAAAACATGATCAGCCACACATGGCTTGCTGCATAACTCACTTTTGAAGGTCAAAAGCTGAGTATAGCCTTTTGGTATTTTCTTTGTAACAAATTCCAATTTCTCCTCAGGCAGACAAATGCTTAGAATGAACTAGTACAGATGATTCTGGATTCAGGAAGACAAAAGAGGAAGGCACATTAAATATTGTCTTCTCATAAATGCACCTATGACTCAGATAAATTGACAAAGTTCCTGAGCCACAACCTCATGGCCAGAATTGCTTGGCTTCCTCCCGGCTTAGCTCACAAGTGAAAGGGGTATATCCAACCAGTCTATTTAATAATTATTTAGGTTTTCTTAAAAATCTTTATTAACCAGTGCTGTATAAAAGTTGACATTGCTGTGTGGCTCAAGTCTTACTAAATAGTTGATCTCTCTTCTGAAAAATGACTGATTTGAGAAAAAACTTTAACTTCCAGGTTCAGAATAAACTTGTTTCTTCCCAGAGAACACTTAATTTGGTTAAAAAAAATGTTTTAGTCTGTATAAGTAATTTTTTAAGCAGAAAGATAAATCAGTCTAAACAATAAGACATGACTTAAATTATAATTCATTTTATTCCACACAATAAAATTGAGCATCTACTTGCAGTAAACAAAAAAGATGTGTTCCTTGCTTTCATGAAGTTTATGTAATAAAACTCATTGCGTGTTGTTTCCCTGAAATGTTCCTCAAGACATTAAACTGTCTTGCTAAATAATAACATTTCTAGGTAATGGCATGAAAAATCATTCCATTGCAAATGGGAAAAATCAATCATTCTGAAAATTGGGGTGGCATGAAGAGTCATCAGTGATTCGTGGTTAGTATTCTGGATAGACCTAGGCCAAAGAAAGAATGCTTAGGAAGATATTACCAAAACTAGCTCTCATTTGTATTTTTATTAATGATTAGTAAGAGTTCTTGCTGATAAAAAAATACATATGCGAAGTGATGAGCACCTTATAAACCATATTTAGGTCCCTACTGAATTTGACTGATTAGAAAAGTAAACAAACATAAATAGTCTGAAAATTAATAGAGAAAATTGGAGAGTCATTAGTTTAGACACGAAAAGCAAACACAATTAAAATTAAACCAAAAACAAGTAAGTGATTATTGAAGGATTGAGAGAAGAGAAGAAGTTTGTTTCTGTGCCAGCTTCAGAGAAAGCTTAGGGGAAGGGCATGGCATCGAAGAATCTTTGTCCATGCTCCAAATCAGTCGGTCAGGCCTTCTTTACCTTTTATCTATCCCCATGCCACACATTTCTGATGGTTCCTCTCAAACCCCACCACCCTGAAGCTATTGCAAGATTCCAGTCCTCTTTTAATTTGGTCCCTGACTGACCTACTGTAGCCCAGATCACGTGCTTCCTCTTTTGGCCCTTGGTTATGTTCTATTTTTTATCATTTCCTAATTGTCATATTTGTAAGCTCTGACAAACCAACTCTCCAAGTACCTGAAGTAACCAGTGTACCTTTGGGTGTAGTTGGTCGACCACAGAGAATCAGAGGAGAGATGAGTAACCTTATTTTCTCAACATGGAAACATGTCAAGTGAAATGACGTATAAACGAGGACATTGGAGTGAGCAGGATGAAACCTTCAAAGTATTCTTTTTTATAAAAGTCCTTGGAGCACCTTCCTGTGCTGAGGCCAAAGTCTCAAGTGGACAATACTAACCAGGAACCATCCCCAGCCTTAGTCCTGCAAAAACAAACAAAGAGCAGCTTTCCCCGACCTCCCTGAGCACGTGCATCTTGCCCAGGGAGCTGGAGGCTCAGTCCTGCGCCCCAGATACATGATGGTCTTCAACGGTTTAGGCAAGGCGGTCAGGGAGCTGGCAGATAGTGTACTCCTCAACTAGGTGAATGCTAGCGCAGGGGAGGAAGACAGCCCTCTGCTCTCTTAGGCATAGAGACTGGAGCCTGTGAATTAAACTGCCAAAAGCCAGACTGACAGGAGAAAAGCATACAAATTTATTTGATGTTACTATTTTTATGTAACATAGGGGGCTCCATAGGAATGAAATGAACACCCCAACAAAGTGGTTAAGCCCAAGAGCTTAAACACCATTTTAACAAAGGGCAATAAATTGGAGACAAAGGAAAAGGAGTGTGGGTTTCTAGGAGTAGCAAATTGTAGGAAGGTAAATATTTGGGAGAAACGAACGGAAGAGAAAGGTTATTTAGTAAGCTTTGTTTGCATAGATTCATCTTGGCATCCACGGCCTGTGACCAGTGAAAAGAATGTTCTCTTTCTGGTACAGGGAGGGCATCTTTCTTACTGGAAATTTATGTTCCGCTTTTAGCAGGAAACGGAGAAGGCAGAGAGCTGTTACTGCATCTGCCGTTTCTCAAAATAATCAATATGCCAAAGCAGCATATTTTGGGGTGGCATGTTCTGATCCCCTTTACTAGCTACCAGTTAACACCTAAAAAGTTCTGTCCAATCCTTCATTCTATATCTTTTAAGACAGAGGGTTTCAAAGAATGAGCCTGAGGTCAATCTGCATCAAAATTACTTTGAAGGAGAGAGACAAACTCAGAATCCTGGGCCCATCCCAGATGCACTGACTCGGAATCTCTGGGGAGGGTCTAGAATCCACATGTTTAGTAAGCTTCCACACAGTTCTTGTGCACACTTAAAGTGTTAGAACCAATGTTTTGCATCCGTTTGGGCTTTCAATGTTTGATTCCATCTTGGTAAGGCTTTTAAATTGTTGTTTTAATAAAACTAGTCAAAAGTTTGCCTAGAATTGTTCCTCAAAGTTGAAATATCCAGAGATTTTGCATTTTAGCAATTCAAATTTTTATTTTTTTCACGCACAGGGAGGAATGGCTAGAGCCATGTGGCAGCCTCCTTCCAATGGGGTGTGTGTACCAGAGTTCACGACCATCTTCACTGGCCCCCTTTACTCACTTACATTCAGCTGACTGGCCAATGCAGGAATTTTCATTTTCAACCCCTGGTTGAGAGACTTCTGTGTTTTGTGATGAGGGGGACCAGCATCCTCTGAAAAATCAGACTTGCCACCAGATGTTTCTGGAAACTTCTTCTGCCCAATTTACTTCAATTCAGAAAAAAATTCAAGTTAGAAATGCAGCAACTCTAATATGGCAAATGGCTACTTTTAGTCTCTTGGGACTTGGGGAAAGCTTATGGTCCTTCCCTCTAAGTACACCAAAGAGCTGTCGGCAAGCAGTCCAAGAAGTGATTCCCAGAACCTTATCCTTCTTTGATGGCTGGAACAAGGGGATCGAGACAAAATAACTTTATTTCGTCTTTATGTCACCTCTTCTACAGCTGCTGAGAAGTCATTAGGGAATTTAAGAGGAAAAACTAGAACAGTTTCCCAAGAACATGTTAATTCTGACCCTTGGGAACCAAAGGTCAGGGAAAAATCGTCATCGGAATAACAGAAAGGCAACACTGCTTGAAAATTAATGATGGCCCACTTTAAATCAATGACCCACAATGAAGCTGCTACACACATCCACATACTCAGAGGATATTTTGATAAACATTTTTACACATAAGATGATTATTTTTATCTGTACTAAAAATATAGTACTTAAATATTTCATCAATAATATTAATCAAATTTTAAGCAAAAGTTACCCATAATCTACTGCCCCAACAAAATATTTTTCATATTAGCTCTTTCTACGTAAATACATTTATATGCATACATATTTTTATAGTGAAAATACTATATTTTGTGTCCTGCTATTTTAATAAGATCCTTTAAATTTCAGTACTATGGGGATCCCACATATGATGAATAAATTGTATATATAAGAGAATAACTATTGAGAAATACAAATCTTTCTTTTTACGATAATAACCAAATAGTCTAAAAAGAACATAACAGCAGGAAGCTATAAAACAGTTTTTTCCATTCTTGGATCTGGGTCCTGACATTCACAACATGCTTGTTAAAAAAAAACTTCCTGTCCTCATTCAAACAGTTGATTAAATGCTCTTTCATAAATGTTTCATTTACTTTCATAAATGTTCCTTACTTCATCATCACCCCCGGTTTTCACATGCCTTCCATCCGTGTGCATTCGTGGAACATATATCATCCTTGGCAGTGAAAGTCAGGTGATACATCTGCTGTTGGATTGGTCTTCAGGAGAGCATTCAACAGCCTGCAGTAAGTAAGCAAATACCCACAAGGATTGCTGCCTGCCACAGCTGGAGACAATTTTCTGGGCATATATGGCATCGCAGAGAGAATAATCTACCGGGCAATTAGCAGTGTTATTTTTATAACTGATGACATCAGTTATTCTGGACAGGTAGAGCCTGTGAAGTACCCTAGCGCTTCAGCAATTAATTTGAGCGTTGTCGTCAAAATTTTTACTTACCTGGAGTTGTTTGGGAGCATGTAAGTTTCACTTTATTACTTCTATTGAACTTTATTGCCTCTACTAGCCAAGGCTCATGTGGTGGCCAAGTGTCAGAAACCCAAATTAAACTTGCTTAAACAAAATAGAGAATGTATAGACCTTTGTAACAAAAATCTCAGACATGGCTAGATCCTGATGCGTGGATGTCCGGACTCTGTCTCTGTCTTCCAAGCCTGCTTTCCTCTACAGTGGGTTCATTCTCAGGCACGCTCTTTCGCTTGCTGGATCATGGTGTACACCAGCAGCTCCACACTTGCACTGTACATGCTTAGCAACCCAGTGGGATGAGAACTCCTCTTTCAGAGCAATCTCATCTAAGTCCTGCAATTCACTCTCTTGGGGGAATTTTTTGAATGAATCATTGTGATTGGATGATTTAAAGTTTGGGATTGGCACACTTGGCTTATGGGGGCACCAGTGGAGCCCTAAGTAAGTTCAGCTGCACCCAAGTCATATAGCCTGAGAGCAGAAAAGGGGAGATTTACCCAAACAAAGTTGCGCTGGTATTACTAATAATAATATTACCTGACAGAAACAGACAAACAAAAAGTAGCTGTTCACTGCAAATAGGAATGCTAAAAACTTAGTTTCAAGTCCTATCTTACATGACCAAATCTAAACCAATAGTTTTTAAGAGAAATAAAATTCAAAGTGGGGCTGGCCCTTTGGCCAAGTGGTTAAAGTTCCATGTGCTCTGCTTCAGGGGCTCGGGTTCATGGGTTCGAATCCCAGGTGTGGATCTACACCACTCATCAGCCATCCCGAGGTGGCACCCACGTACAAAATAGAGGAAGACTGGCACAGTTGTTAGCTCAGGGCTAATCTTCCTCAAGCGAAAAAAGAGGAAGATCACCAACGGATGTTAGCTCAGGGTGAATCTTCCTCACACACACACAAAAAAATCAAGAAAGGGAAATGTCTACTGAAAACTCTTTTGTTCTAAGGTAGCAGCCAGTTATTAACATTAAATTTAAGTGAATGAATTTCATCAAGATAAAAAGTGGCTGTGATAGGTAGAATAATGACCACCCTCAAGACGTCCTCATCCTAAACTGTAGAAGCTGTGATATGGTACTTTCCACGGCAAAAGGGACTGTGCAGATGTGATTCACGTCAAGGACCTTGAGATGGGAGATCATCCTGGATTATCCGGGTGGGCCCAATGTGATCACAAGAGTCCTTAAAAGCAGGGAACCTTGCCTGGCTGTGGTCAGAGGAAGACGTAATCATGAAGAAAGGTCAGAGAGTTGCAACATTACTGGCTTTGAAGATAGAGAAAGGGAACCAGGAGCCAAGGAATGTAGACAGCCTTTGGAAAATGGAAAAAGCAAGAAACAGATTCTCTCCTAAAGCCTTTAGAAGGAACACAGCCCTGCCGTCACTTGATTTTAGCCTAGTAAGACCTATGGTGAACATCTGACCTATAGGACTGTTATATAGTAAATTTGTGTTGTTTAAGCTGCTGTTGGTGGTAATTTATTAGTAGGCAGCAATAGAAAACTAATACAGCAGCCATTTTGGCACTGTAATGCATCCTGTGGCCTAGATTCTCAGGAAATGGTCAGTTCACACCATTTGGAATGGCTCAGACTGAAGAACTTTATTTTGGCAGAGACATTTAATGCTCACTGAATTACACCGATGTCCCTCACCTTTCCCAGCCTCTGTGCAGTTAGGTAGGGTCATATGATTTTCTCTGGCCAATGGATGATGAGTTTAAGTAACATATGCCCTGTTTCAGGCTGACACAATGAAATGCCCCTGCACACACACACACACACACACACCCGCCCCCAGCTCTTTCATTCTCCGCCTGGGTAAATTAGAAGGCTCATGTTGAGACAGTGGTGCCACAAGATACAAGCATCCTGGATCCCTGATTCTGCTGAAAAGGAGCTGCCTGGAGAACCACTACATTTGTTAAAAGATTTTTGCATGAGTCAAAAATAAGTTTTTGTGTTTTAAGCCACTGAACTTTCCAGGTTTATTTGTTACTGTGGACAAACCAAGTCTATCCTGACTAGTATACTTATTTAGAATAAGGCTATCCCGGGAGACAAAGGATCCAACCTGTCAAGTTTAACATGGAAACTACTTTCAAATTCTCTCTCTTCTCAAACTGTTAGGCGGCACCTTTTATGCTTCAATTTCCGTGTACATTCAATTGGGAGATATAGAATTTTATATAGCACTTGGGAAAATATTGAATATCATATAAATGACTATTCCTTTTATTTGTGTTGGTTACATCAAACAATAATGGATTTTAAGTTAGAAAATAAAAAGTTTTACATTTTCTTAAGAAATAATATTTTTGTTTTTCTGTCATTGACTGGTAATGATAATGCAGATACTATGCTTTCATGTCAAGTTCATATGATGAAAATTTATATTTACATGATAAAAATTGTTTTTCTCTATCAATATTTTACGTTTAAGGTATTTGCCAAGATCTTAATGAACTTTAGCAAAACAGCATGCTTATGCCCATCAAAAGGTAAAAGTGACAAGGAAAAGTAAATTCACAGTCTGTAATGCTTTCCTAAGAGGATTGGAATTCAAAAAAAGTAAACCAAAAGTATCATCTATTTTAAATAGAGTAATGTCTTAATATTCTCCATTTAATCATCCAAGGTAATAATAACTCAAGAAAAGCCAAGGATTACCCAATTCCTCTCCTTCATTTGATGGGAGAGAAAATTGAGGACTTCAGAAAGTGAGTAATGTATTCCAAGTAGCCAATAGGGAAAGAGATAATACCTGAGGGCAAATCTACAGGCAGGTAGAAAGCAGCTATTTTGTTAAGGGCAGGCTAGATTTACATGATCAAAAAATCATATCTTTTTTTTATTGTGGTAAAATATACATAACATAAAATTCACCGTTTTAATCATTTTCATGTGTCCAATTTGGTGGCATTACATACATTCACATTGTTAAGCAACCATCATCACCACCATCATCTCCAGAACTTTCCCCTCATCCCAAACTGAAACACTATATCCGTCAACAATAACTCCTCTCCCCTGGCCTTCAGTAACCACTGTTCTATTTTCTGTCTCTATAAATTTGACTATTGTAGGTACCTCCTATAAGTCAAATCATATAATATTTGTCCTTTTGTGTCTGGCTCATTTCACTAAGCATAATGTCTTGAAGGTTCATCCTGTTGTAGCATGTGTCAGTATTTCCTTTCTTTTTAAGGCTGAATAATATTCCATCGTATGTATATACCGAATTTCGTTTAGCCATTCACCTGTCAATGGACATTAGGGGTTGTTTCCACATTTTGGCTATTGTGAATAGTACTGCTATGACCACTGGTACACTAATATCTGTTTGAGTCCCTTCTTTCAATTCTTTTGAGTATATACCTAGGAGTGGAATTGCTGGATCATATGGTAATTTGATGCTTCATTGAGGAATTGCCATACTGTTTTCCACAGAAGCTGCACCATCTTGAATTCCCACCAGCAATGTGCAAGGGTTCTAATTTCTCCATGTTCTTGCCAACATTTGGTACTTTTTGTGATTTTGGAGGGTGTTTTTCCTTTGTTTGTTTTGATAATAGTCATCCTAAAGGGTGTGAAGTGTTTTCTCACTGTGATTTTGAAAAAAATCCCATCATTTTACCACTGAGAACTTCTATCAGTGCCTTTATTTTTCTAATGTGCCACTCCTTTTGAATTTGGAAATATGCATCTGACTTGCCACTTACGAGAGGAATCACATCAATAAGTAAAGTCCCTCTAACATACAAGTTAGCAGTCATTGTCGTCCTTTTAGAGCAACACAAACAAATACTTTATATAGCGGCAATTTTTTTTTCAAATTTTCTCTTTTAGAAAAACTTTAGAGACTCTTTAATAATATAATTATAAAAATATATAATTTTTAACTATTATAAAAATACAGTATCACAGTATTTTTAGATATGTGATAAAATCTTTCAATTATTTTCTTTCTTGAGAGACTGATATAGCCAGATGTTAAAATTTTTTCTTTAAATTGGCTGTATCTTAATCAGCTATTTCAAGTAATTGAAAATTTTACCTCAATTTTACTTCAAAAGGTTTTAAGCTTCTAAGTATACCACCAGCAGCTAAAGCTGAAAATGTGTCACCAAAAATCTTTGATATGATGGTGACTCTTCTCTAAATGGCACAGCTAAGGAAACCTATGAGAATCCTTAGTCCCTTTATAACCAGTTGAATTAATATGCAGTGACAATCCAGATGTTTGATTCAATAACCTGTAGCATTCTATCTTTCTAGACACAATAGGAATGACGTATAAACTCTGCAGATAGGGTAACCTGGTGGCAATAAATAGGAAGTATATTTGTGAAGAAACGCAGGAGGTTATTGTCAATTTAGGGTTCGTGCTTTCTGAGAATATAATCACAACTCAGTGTGGCTTAATGCCATCGTTTTGCTCTCCTATAGAAGAGTCACACCATCCAATGCCTCATCTTACACACACACTGACTATACGCATCTCACAGCTTGTTCACCTCTGGGACAGCTAACTTTATGTTTCTTTCCCAGGACAGATGATGAGCTTGAGTAGGGAAATACTTACAACACATAGATAGTCTAAGCCCAGTCATTTCCTTGGTCACGTAGTTTAACAGCTCTTTGACTTGGGCCAAATCAGTTTCACACTTAAGACCTTAGAGGTCTACAGATTTTTACTAAGAACTAAATGAAAAAGCTTTTTTTTTTAATTTAAAATATTAGAGAAGTATAGAGGAATATCATTCATAAGATAACATTACCAGTCATTCTTGTCTCATCTTTCACTTTCTCAAAACAGAATAAAAACTTTAAATAAATTAGATCGGAAGTTAATTTTAACACTGCTTCTTCCTGATAAAATGTGAACAATTTAGTGCTATCATATCACTTTCTTAAGGAAAACTTAGAACTATTACACTGATTTCTGATTTGAATTTTTGTAGCGGTAGAAAAATAGTTTTGAAATATCTTCTGATATAATTTCTCATCTCAGTAATTTAGTTTTATTTTTATTTCTCCCTCGAATTTCCTTTTGCCATTAAGTCCAGACCTTGAGACTGAGGCTTACTCCCCAGAGTAGAGCAGACTAGCGAGTGTTTATTAGAAAGAATAATTATTTGGCTTTGGCATTCAAACTGAGATTTTTAAGCTTCATAGGAAGATAATAGTTTTGAAAATTGGGCTCTGAGGAGGAAGAATAATTTTCTCACACTCTCAAAGTCATATTCTCCTAGATTGAATCCCATGAAATATTCACTCATTTTCGACCTACAAAAATGGAAATTTATTATTATTCAACCTGTAATATATATCAAGAACCCAAGTTTAAAGAATTGACCCTAGATTATCCCATAGAAAAGGAAGGGAGATCATATGATGTGATGTAAAGGAAATTCTTACCTTACTGTTGCTAGGAGAAGGAGGCAAAGAGAAAAGAGAGAGAAAAGATCTGTGAAGACAGGGAGATGTGGGAGAAAGCAATGGGCAGTGGTATAAGCACCCAGTTATAGTGGGGTTAATTCCCTGCTTTACGGCACAGAGCCTGAGGAGTCTGCCCTTGGAGATACTCCATGCTGAATGGCTGGAAGTAGGAGCACTTCTGGCTCCCCATGTCTCATACATACCGTCGAGGAAATACAGAAGTTCTCGTGTGCCTCAGTTGGGGTTGGGAGTGAGGGGCAAAAGACCTGAGGCCCAAAGAGATCTAGGGCTGGGACAAGGAGCTAGCATGAGACCTAGAGAAGATGGGCTACGTCAGAAATGCGGGCCGTCAGTGTTCAGTTCCAGCACAACATCTGAAAAATAGGTGAAACCAGCCACAGCTCAACAGATGCCAATCAATCCAGTGACATCGAGACAGTAGTGACCACAGTAGGACTACACATGTATCAGACATCTTTCTGTCAAACCATAGCAGTATGGCATACGAACTTCTTAAAGACTTCATCGTGGAAAGTATAGGACAAGGTGGGTGAGAAGACCCCAGAACTGACAGACCTAAATCCTGTAGGGACTGAGAAGTGATTGTTTTAAACCACAAAGACATAGTTACCCTGAGTGGGCAATTTAAGTTTATTTTTTTCTCCTGCTACTGAGTGAGAATAGGAGATCAGGAAAAAGAAGAAATCAATTAAACTTTGAGGTATACTGTGCTAGATTTGGATAAACATGTTCTTTGAAATGGGTTTCATTTAGGAAACAATTTTTTCCTGTTTTTTCATTTTTTCTTGTGTGTGAGGAAGATGGCCCAGAGATAACACCTGTGCCAATCTTCCTCTATTTTATGTGGGATGCTGCCACAGTGTAGCTTGACGAGCAGTACTACGTCTGCGCCTGGGATCCGAACCTGGAAACCCAGGGCTGCCAAAGCAGAGCACGCAAGCTTTACCACTATGCCACTGGGCTACCCCTTAATTGTTTTCTGTTTTTAATATGCTTGCAACTTTTAAATTTGCTGCCTAATTTTCAAGTCTTTTGTGCCCTTAGTATAGAATGTTCCCAATCTCAACAGCTATAAAAGCTGTAAAATTAAACAATATGTCCACTATACTGGCTAGTTAATGAAAGAACTAGAAGCAACACATATTTTTTGACACCTGGTCCAGGACACTGTCTTATAAAGAGAGTTTTGGTTTCTTTTTTAAGTTTTAGTTACAAAGTACCAAGACAATGATGTACTGAAGTTTATTGAACTGATGATAAATGACTTCTTTTGTTTTACTATTTTTCTGGTCAAGATAGAGAAATAGAAAATGTCAAGACTTGATAGACTAGTTTATATATATATATATATATATATATATATATATATATATATATATTCTCATCTTAGAGAAGACCAGAATCTCAATTCATCTCTAAGATGGTTTTTATTGCCTCTCCTATGAAAAAGAATAAATACAATGATCAAATTTCAGTACTTTCAAAATGTGCTCATTGGCCCAGTTTCCTAACTTCCTCTGTGTCTGCCAAGACAAGCACCTGTGTGAAAGAGACTTATGTCAAACTTAGACAAAGCAGAGGAAGTGCCTATAAGAAGATGGAAATAATCAGAATGTGTTACAAAGAAAATTTGACCTTCCCGAGTCTCTGAAGCCTAGAAGTCATCTCAGATCTGCATCTTCTGCCTGAAGCTAGAGGCTCAACCCTTCCTGTACTGTTTGTACATCTGCAAGATGATATATGCATTTATGGCTTTCAAGGTGACGTACTGTAAAATCTTCTATTTACCTTTAAACCGGATCACTATGTAGTGGGTCCCTAGAAAGTCTTTGGCATTCTTGCTAAATAGAAAACACAGGGCCTGGCCTGGTGTTGTAGTGCTTAAGTTCACATGCTCTGCTTTGGCAGCCCAGGGTTCACTAGTTCAGATCCTGGGAGCAGACTTATGCACCGCTTATCAAGCCATGCTGTGTCAGGTGTCCCATATATAAAGCAGAGGAAGATGGGCACGGATGTTAGCTCAGGGCCAATCTTCCTAAAAAAAAAAAAAGAAAGAAAGAAAGACAAAAAAGAGAATGCAAAATCTCGACAGACAACAATGGGTGGCAGCACTTTATACTGTCTTCCTAAGTAATTACAAAGAATTCATGTTCAAGTGAAACCAATGCTCTGCCTTTCTCAGATTTGTCGGTTAGTATATCCATCATTATTAGAGAGTAGAATGATGCAATATAAAAGGAAATTTCCAGCTGTGCTTCTAAATGGTTGGGTGTGTAATAGGGAAATCCAGACCACAATAAACTCCCAGTATTGAACTAGTAATTGTTCAGAACTGAATAAATATACAGGAGTTTAAATAGTTGTATGTAGCACAATTTCCCCGACCATTTCCATTGTTTCCCCGTTGCAATAAACATGGGGGTTTCTTTCCCCATGCAGGAGCCATTAGAAAGGTGGTATCCAGTAGTAAACAATAGACCACTGACTGTCCAGATCACAGTATTTCACATGACCCCGTACACAAGCTAACAGCAGTGTCCTGCCAAAGTCTAGCCCATGGGGAATAGGCCTCTGAGATTGTTTAAAAGTGGCAGGCTGTGAGAGAGAAGGCTGTTTCCTTTCTTGGAGCCCAGTTTAGCTGGAAAAGGAGGATAGGCAGAATGTGAGTTTCCTGTAGCTTCATGCATTGTATAATTTTATTAGACATAAGCAAACTTGCTCTGAATGACTTATATTAGCCAACTGAGATATTTCCTTTTATGTAAAATGTGACCTTCAAACTATATACAGCATATCATCCAATAAGAACACGAAATAGCTCCCAACCATGCCCCTTCACAGCCAGTGCAATCATCAGATCCCAGAACGGAGATCACTATTTTAAGCTTCACAAGGCACACATTGAGTCTGACAAAATTGCTAAGATGTCAACAAACATTTGTGGAACACTATTGTGGGCCACGTAACCATGCAAGCCCTGGAGCTAAGAAGCCAGGTGACACCCTGTCTCTATCCCCAAGGAGTTTACAAGCCAGAGGAGAGGACAGAGCTGTGGACAAGCAAATACTAACAATAACCTGTGGTGTTCTGATGGCTGAAGAAAAGCTGGAAGATAAACCAGCAGCTGCTGTATGAACTCGGGAAGTTCTCATGATTCTGGAGATGTTATCACTTACTTATAATCTAAATGGACCCTAACTCTACAACCTCTCCCATAAACTGATCATGAGAAGCTGAAAAATCATATATTGTACTCCTCTCAGCACCACAAGTTGGTGTGCACCATAATTTACATGTATTTATTGATAAATACAGAGAGAGAGAGAAATTCTTCTTCCAGACCCATGAGGGGATGACAACACACAGTAAAACTGAGAAACAGGGAGAAAATTAGTAACACAATTCCCTATTTTTTGCCTTATTTGGAGCTCTTTACCCATTTATTTTAAGCCCTATACCCACTTATTCTCCCTCACCTCTCACCAAAAAATGTTTTTATCAGGAAACATCAAGCAAGGAAATGCCACTGACCTGACACAGTGTCTTCAGGCTCTTCTTCCAGTAATCTCCCTTTAAAGCATAAATTGTGTGTCCTCCTTAACAGCGCGTAATAATGGGTGACAAAGCTGGTTTCCTGTTATCTCCAATGAGAACAAGTTCCTGGGTTTAGGAAAAAAAGAAGAAGTTGTACTTTTTTTTAAGTGTGGTGTTTAAAGGTTATACCGAAGAAATTTTGGAACTCAAGTATTCCAGGAAGCCAAGGGTTTCTGCATTTACAGAAATCACAGGAGAAAACTAGCTCCTAGGTAACGCAAGGCTTCTAGCAGGGGATGCAGCTTCTTCTCTTGAACGGATTCCTTTTGATGATGAGATGGTCGTTGGAGCGATCACATCGGAGACATCCAGGATTGCTCAGGAGGGACCTTTCACTCTCTGTTGAGATTTTTTTAAGCAACTGAAATTTCTACTATAGGTTTTCCTCTTCTGTTCAGCTCTCAATGAGCTCCACGATGCTTCCAGTAAGACTTGCTAAGCTTTGTATGTGGTACCACATAACCAGATTTACATCTAACCGTAGAAGAACCACAGCCAGCTCCAGATTGGCCTCTGTTGTCACCTTGTTTCTTAGGACAAGGTAGTCTTTTAAATTTAACACTGCAACCATGTTAAACTGTTCAAAAACTCTTCCACATTATATTAATAGCTAGCCATGGTTGTTTAGCAGCAGAAGGAATGTTCTGTTTACCCTGTGACCTTTCTAGAGACAGCATGACGCAAGGACAAGACCAGTGTTTCAGGAGTCAAACAGATGAAAATTTGAATCCCATCTCCGTAATTTTCTGCTGTGATCTGGGGTAATTCTGCAAAAGCAGGTATTATGATACCTATGGTACTGACCAAACAGAGCCCAAAGAAGTTAAATAGTTTTGCTCTAGGACACACAATGAGTAAACGGCCCAGAGAGAATTCAAATGCAGACACCATTTTACCATATTTCCTTCAAAACTGGGTCTTCACGTCCCTGGGGCTTGAATGCTTCACTTGTTCAGATTAATATCTCTTATAAACCTACGTGTACCTCTTCACTGTTGGCCACCTTAGTAACTAAGTAGTTCTACATCTTGAAGCTTCTCTGACCACAAAAGAGAAAGAAAGCATCCTAAGTGCACTGGAAAAGAAATTTTCAGGTTCAGTTCCACGCAGACTGCTGCTTTCTATTAGTAATGTGAGTGAGATTAGATTTTTAAACCCAGCTGTAGTTACTGTGGTTAAATCTGATGTGGAGATTAGGTCTATTTGGAAAATTTTAAAACACATGCCTTTAGACTCCCTGCAGATAGAGAGGAAGGAGCCTTAGAAGAATTTTCTTCTAGACGTCTCTGGAGATCTCAGGAGTCATTAACAAGAATAGGCCTTTTAGATTGGAATCTACTGTCGACTTCCTGAGATAAAACCAGATGAACTGCCTGAAGACTAGACAGTTCTTCCAACCAGAGGCTCATGCATAACAGGAGATGCGCTGGAGGGCAAAATGCAGTTTATATGTTTGGCAAGACCCATCTTTCTTGACACCTTGCCTTATCCCAGGTGGACGGAACTAGAAGAAGGATTCAAGAGCAGGGTTGAGGGGATATATATCTACACGCAAAAATTTGAGTTTGCTTTGACCTGTACTTTATTTGTATTTATTTGTATTTGTATGAATGTGGATAGAGATTGGGGAAGGGGAGTGAGAGATTAAGATAATTGGAGAAGGGGTAGAATTATTATAACTTGATAAATATTCCAAAACCAAGATAACTGCTCCTTGGAATTGTAGTGGAGGGAACAAGTAGGAGGGAAGATAGATTTAGTGATAATGAATGTCCTGGGGGAAACAAGTTTCACATTTTTGGATCTGGAGAGCTGAGTGGTTTAGGATGTTTATAATTGGAGAAATTCACATCCTTGATTAATAAATCTTGCCTTGCAGAGCCACAGATGGAAATTTCTTCTATACTCTCTACCTTGACTAGTACAGCTTTACAATTTATTGTCTGAAACTTGGGGGCCAAATATGTTTCAGAATGCAGAATTTCTCAGATTTGAAAGGTAATCCGAATAGTGTCTGGGATAATATTCCATAACTGAATATATTAACATTTGCACTGAATGGGATGTATAAATAGTTTCCTATCAGTTCAGATCAGATTTTGCTGCCAGATGAATTCAGATTGGGTCAGGTCAGATTTTGCCACCAGATGAGCTATGAAGAACTTCCAGTTTCCAGAGCTTTTCAGATTTTGGAAATAGAGCTATGGGATTGTGAACTTGTACAAATGGAAACTTCTTCTTGACCATTCTACTAAATAGAAACATCAGTTGATTTACAAGAAGAAGGGGAGCTTTGATTTGGGGAATGTGCTTAGAAATATTAAGCAGGCAACAATAACGATGCAGTTAACATTTCTTGTGCAATTTTTATGTGCCAGGCATTACTGTAAGAGCTTAACATGAATTAACTCGCGTAAATCTCTTACAGTTCTATGAGGTACTGTGTTGATGTATTGATAGGTCTATTTACAAATGAAGAGACTGAAGCACAGAAAGTTTAAGTAACTCTGCCAAACTCACACAGCAAGTGATTGGAGTTTAAACACAGATTGCTCCCTTCCCTGAATATTAATACTATAGTTTTATGTTCTACACAAAGAAAACAGTTCTTATATATCATTCTACACACATTCCTCTTAACTATAGGAAACTAAGGGGTATATTTTACATTTGAAGTCCTATAATACCTCTCAAGAAGCTTGCTTTCATGTGGAACGTCTTTTGTAGAAGAGAACATCTGCAATTCTTTATCTTAAACCTGAGCCGATTAACAGATTATTGATGCAAACAAGCTTATTATGAATAATAGAAGAATCAAGCATTTAGATTATTCCTTGAGGATAGACGCTGGTTTCTAGTCACTGTTTTATCTCCAAGGCCTAATTTTGAGGCTAGTGTATGATTATTTTCCAAAGCGTCCTCTGTGTATAACAGGCGCTTTGTAGAGTGAAAGAATAAACCCAAATCTCCAAAACCCCTCAAAATAAATGAGTCCCATTCAGAAATGCTAACTTATATTATTCTACTTATTTACATTTTTCTCTTAGTTGATGTTAGTCCAGAAGAATTTTTATGAAATCAAATTTTATGTTGATTTGTTTTTACATAAAAGTATAGCATCGATGGAGGGGAGGTTAAGTTTGCTTTTAGCCAAATGTTATTGTTTTAGCTGGTCTCTGCTGACTCCTGGCCATGCTTATGTAAATGTGTATTTATAATGTATATATGCACGCGGAACGTGTGACACATTCTGATAGGATCAGGCCTTATTCAAACAGCACTTGGAAAATGATGCTGCTTATCAGGTTTTACCACTCCAGATTCTTGGTTGCTGGAGTCAGGTGCTTCCACTTGGTTCCCATGCTTATCTCTAACAATATCTGAAGGGTTCTTTGACTCAGAACTTTGTAAAGATGAAAGGATTGGGAAGGCCTGAAACCATACTATAAGACATACTATCAACAGTTTTCTAAATTTACCTTGAGCAAACCATGTAGTTCTTGTATTAATTGCTAATCCTATTCCTTAAGGAATTTGTGGATAAAAAACCAACTCCTTCCTGGTCCTGTCCATATTTTGCATCGTTGCCATGGTTCTCCCCTATGGTTTGCACTGTCCCAGTTTCAGGCTGTATATGGCAGAGTCACTCTCTTGTATTAGGGCTTTTCAATCAATTGAGAATTCTCAGTCTCTTCATCGGCAGTTGTTCAGAGTTCTCCCTCAAAGCACAAAGTCTTTCTCTCTGAAGTTCTGTAGCAGATCTTACCTTGATACTGCACAGGACAGTGCTGGGACCTTAGAGAGGCACTATTTTTCAAACCATCCTCTGCAAAATTGCCCAAGGACTATTCATCCCTCTAGCTTTTTCCTCTACTATGCTGCCTCACTAGATCTCACTCTCCCTCCCTCTTTCTTTCTCTCTCTCTCTCACTCTCCCTAACCCTCTGTACTTTTATCTGTTTTGCACTGCAGGGGCAGCATGGGCCATTTTGACAGAGAGTGGCACTTTCAGGTAGGGTAATTCCAGATAAAGGATTCCCCATTGAATAGTAGCCACTTACCCTCTATTACTTCCTGTGTCACATTGTCTCTGGATACCTCTTTGGCTTTTCTTAGATTACACAGACATATGTTGACACATGGAGAAATATATACACCTACACTCCTATGCCATCCTTGCAGAGAGATGATAATTTGAAGATTTAAGTTGTCCTACTGGTTTTTCAAATATTTATTATACTAGTTATTAATATAGAATCAACTTTAAAAATCTTTTTTTTCAATTTTAATTGAAATTCTTACTTGGCAACATTCTTATTTTCCCCATTTGGGAGACTCATGCTCATATGCAAATATGTAACTTTGTGGTTTATCATCAATAGGACTCATAATCTCCAGGAAGCTGAAAAAGCTAAAGACATAGTAACCAAGTTGTTTTTGCTCACCTTTGGTCTTTTGGGCTGTTTTTCCAAGAAAAGACTGAGAAGTAGTTTTGGGGTCATAGTGACACTAGAGGGATACTAAATAAGCTATTTACTCCTTTCCATCCATCTATTGAAGACAGAGTCACAATCACCATCATTGCCTTCAAATTAACTCAACGAGAATCTGGTGCTTATCATGTACCCACTAGTGGACAATGTGGATGTAGTATGGGAGATTATACTAGACATAAGAAGCTTAAATGCCAACATTTAAACTAAAAACACGTTATTTTAAGTATCAAAATAGTTTAGAATATATGCCCTGAAGCCCAAAGTCCCTAATACAATTACAGAATTCTAGAATCAGAAAAATTTTTCATTGATTATATAAATTAACATTTTTTGTTTACTAAATGAAGAGGCTGGCACACAGAGGGGCTGATTTGTCCAAGATTTTAGGAAATTATGGTAGTGGCCATTTACGTGAGTATAGGCCCTGAACCCTCTCCTTGCATCTTTTGGGCTCTGCCCTTTCTTCCCATACTGAATTATATAATTCACTTGCTGGCTCTTAGACACTATTAATTTGTCAAAGAGTGTATTTTAGAGTGTATAAATATACATTTTAAAAATTTTGCGATG